AGGTCACCACGCCCAGCTAATATTTGTGTTTTTAATAGAGATGGGGTTTCACCATGTTGGCCAGGCTGGTCTCGAACTCCTGACGTCAGGTAATCCACCCACCTCAGCCTCCCAAAGTGCTGGGATTACAGGCGTGAGCCACTGCACCTGGCTTTCTTTTTTTTTTTTTTTGGCGATACAGTTTAACTCTGTCGCCCAGGCTGGAATGCAGTGGCGTGATTTTGGCTCACCGCAACCTCCGCCTCCTAGGTTCAAGCGATTTTTCTGCCTCTGCCTCATGAGTAGCTGGGATTACAGGTGCCCACCACCTCGCCCGTCTAATTTTTGTATTTTTAGTAGAGACGGGTGCAGTGGGTCATGCCTGTAATCCCAGTACTTTGGGAGGCCAAGGTGGGCAGATCACTTTAGGTAAGGAGTTACCTGGCCAATACGGTGAAACCGCGTCTTTACTAAAACTACAAAATTGGCCAGGCGTGGTGGTGCATGCCTGTAGTCCCAGCTACTCGGGAGGCTGAGGCAGGAGAATTGCTTGAACTCAGGAGATGGAGGTTGCAGTGAACCAAGGTTACGCCACTGCACTCAAGCCTTGGCGACAGAGTGAGACTCTGTCTCAAAAGAAAAATGAGCGTATTCTTTTCTGAGCTGAAGGATCATCAAGTCAGCTGATGGAGACCCTGTAGATTGAACATGATAATTATCTGTATGCAGAATTCCCACTGGGATGAATATGACCACAGAGAAATGTGAGAGAACATTCTTAAGGATCATGAGATTTAATTTAATATCCAGGATGACTGACCTGGATAAACCTGTTTTACTTGCATATCTTAAAAGAAGGGAATCCTACATAAGTCAGGGTTGGATTAGGGAATGCCTGCCTGGAAGTAGGAAGAATGGAGAAGCTGGCCTCTGGATGGGCTTTTTTAGTTTTGTTCTAGTGTTACTAGGTTTGCAAGTCCTTGTTGATATGACAGGATCAAGAAAGAAGCTAGAATTAATCTCTCAGACGTAGCTTATTCACAGAGTTTATTTATTCCACAGATTTCATTGATCAACTTAACAGTTAAGAGTTAATCAAATGGGATCTCTTTCTGCTTTGAGATAAGGTTCTTGGGGAAAATACTTGCCTTCAAATGAGTTGGAAGAACTTGTCTAGGGATTGAGAATAGGGGTGGGGAATGCATTCCTGATGCACTAACCATTTCCCTGGATCACTTTAGTCTTCTTTTTTTTTTTTTTTTTTTTTTGAGCCAGTGTCTCACTGTCACCCAGGCTGGAGTGCAGTGGTGTGATCTTGGCTCATTGCAAGCTCCACCTCCCTGGTTATTCCCCTGCCTAAGCCTCCGGAGTAGCTGGGATTACAGGCTCATGCTACCACGCCCAGCTAATTTTTTTGTATTTTTAGTAGAGACAGGATTTCACTCTGTTGGCCAGACTGGTCTCTGACTCCTGACCTCAAGCAGTCCACCCACCTTGGCCTCTCAAAGTGCTGGGATTACAGGCGTGAGCCACTGCACCCAACCCACTTTAGTCTTTTCTTATTCTCTAACTTGTCTCTTTTTTTTTTTTAGGTGTAGTATTGAGTCCAGTTTGAGCTATTGTTCTCTTTTTCCTGCAAAATGGCACTGTCTAAGAGGGAGCTGGATGAGCTGAAACCATGGATAGAGAAGACAGTGAAGAGGGTCCTGGGTTTCTCAGAGCCTACAGTGGTCACAGCAGCATTGAACTGTGTGGGGAAGGGCATGGACAAGAAGAAGGCAGCCGGTATGTACCTTTCTGCAGCTTTTGTCTTAACATATAGGGTGACCCCAAACACTGAACTTCCCTAAAATTCTCTCTGTTGGGAACATCTAAAAAAAGGGCAGGCCATATTTTGTTTTCATCTGTATTATAATGAAAATAGGCTAAATCATAATTTGCTTTTTCTCTTATTGTTTATTTTTTATGTTTTTTATGATAGATTTTAAATCTTTGGCTACCATACTGAGTCACCTAAGTTAGATTTACTTAGGAAGTATGCTTAAGTCAGATAGGCATATTCAGATTCAGATTGACATCTCAACATATAAAAGTCTTTATGAAATACATAAAAAAGCTTGAAGGAGGTAGATTTTGTTAATGGTAGTCTCCTACAACTTGCTATTTGGGAAAGGTTAGGGTGGTTATTCATCTTAAACTTGATGTTCAACGTAAACAGGTTGCTCTGACTGTACGACTTCCCACTCCAAAAAATTATAACTATTTTCACCTCATAGGGCAAGGTCATTCAATGTAAGAGAGATGGGAATCGTAGAAAAAAACTTAAAATTTGTTTCACTCCTGGGAATAAAATTCCAGTGTTGGTACCTGTTATAGGCCTAGTATTAGACTATGTAGTCTTACCTTTCCAATCCTACCACTGCCTTTCTTCCTGTCAGATCATCTGAAACCTTTTCTTGATGAGTCTACTCTCCGATTTGTGGACAAACTCTTTGAGGCTGTGGAGGAAGGCCGAAGCTCTAGGCATTCCAAGTCTAGCAGTGACAGGAGCAGAAAACGAGAGCTAAAGGTAGGTTACAATTTACTGTCTAATGAGCTCAGGACTGTTTTGAATGGTAACAGAGTTGCTGAGCTTACCAGTTCACACGTTGATATCCTCTATTTAGAGCAGCAAATGTTCAAGAGAGGTACTTAGACATTAAAGTAGGAAAGGTGAATTTGTGTCATCACCATCTGAACTACCTAAGTTCATGGGTTTAAATATCCAAATAAATAATTGGTAGCTTTGTCTTTTTTTAGATAACAGGAGTTTTGGTTCTCATGTTTCTCCGTATTTCCTTTTTTTCCTTCTTACCTATAAACTGATTGCTCTAAGATTTTATGTTTGATTTATTTGAGGCCTAATAAGTTGTTTTAGAATGTGACTCCACTGGTACCTGAGCTGTAGACCTCCTTGTTGCCTCTTTGTAGAGGTTTCTCTGCAATGCACTTGTAGATAGGATACCAAAAAAGTAACTATTATTTATTATATTCTTGAGAGCTTACCATTTGCTCTATGGCATATTGCTGGTCCTCTGGTGCCAGAAGTGAAACACTTGGAGGAGTTGTCAGTACCCCTTTAACTACTACACTTTTTATTCTGTAGTTGCTGACTGATCCTGGCCTTTTTCAATATTAGCAGTATCAAGTAGTCTGTCTTTCTACTCATTTCCCAGTATCTCTCTTTAGAAAAAAAAAATTCTGCGACTCCTATCAAACCTTCCGAAGTTCTTTTCATACCTTGGCTATCCCATTGCTTTTCCTGAGGGAAAAGAGTGAATATAATGTCTGCTTGGTCCCCTGGCCAGGCTATGGAACTAAAAAAAACCAGAGAGATTTGTGCCCTTTGTGTTTAGAGCATTGTAGGGTGATCAGAGAAGGAGAAATAGTGCTTGCCTTAAAACAGTTTGTAATTTGCCAGGCACTATGGCATGTGCCTGTAATACCAGCTACTTGGGAAGCTGAGGCAAGAGGATCTCTTGAGCCGAGGAGTTGCAATTTAGAAGAGGCAGGAGTATCACAAAATATATATTTACGTATTATAAAATCTAAGTAGCAGTTTCATGTAAATTTTAGCGTTGGCTATAGAATTTCAGACTTATGTTGAATTTTGTTATATTTAAGGGGGAATGATTGAGCCACAGTATACACGGATCTGTACAGTGAAGATTATGTCACGATAGGGCATACTGCTTTGCTGTTTTTTTTTTTTTTTTGAGGCTGAGTCTCACTCTGTTGCCCAGGCTGGAGTGCAGTAGCACAATCTCGGCTCACTGCAACCTCCACCTTCCAGGTTCAAGTGATTCTCCTGCCTCAGCCTCCTGAGTAGCTGGGATTACAGGCACATGCCACCATGCCCGGTTAATTTTTGTATTTTTAGTAGAGACGGGGTTTCACCATGTTGATCAGGTTGACCTCGAACTCCTGACCTCATGATCCGCCCGCCTCGGCCTCCCAAAGTGCTGCAATTACAGACATGAGCCACTGCATCTGACCAGTAGGGCATACTTCTGTATGAGTGCTGAGGGCATGCTGTGAATGAAGTGACTACATTGGGTGGGATTAATAAAAATGGCTTCTTGAAGGAGGTGTCTAGATAGCTTTGGGATACGGGTCCCATTTTTGGTCCATTCAAGTCCCCACCCCACACAATATATTATGGGAGAGTCCTTTTTCTTGAACTGTAGGAGTTCCAGGAAGCGCTCGCCCCTGGCCGAGGATATGTCCTTGCAAAACACGAGCCCTCCTAGTGAAGAGGGGATGTCACCCAAAGCCTACCACCGGTGTGTACATTTGCTTTTTCCCATTGTCCCTTCCAGTTGGCCACTCTCGGTCCTGTTAAATTCACCTTGCAAATTAGTCATCATATTTGAGTTTCCATTGTTTGATGAAAACAAAGTGTTAATGGGGATTACTGAAGAAGAAAGAGAAAGCCCGTGTCCTGGAAGAGCTTAGACTTAGTTGGGAAAATTATACTAACATTGAATTACTTAACACTTGGCAAACAGAATATCAACAGTGTAATTTAACCTAATATGAACCAAGCTCTTACATGATAAGAGAATGTGAAACAGAAAGTTTAATCAGAGTGGGATAAGGTTGTAATGAGGAAAACTTCTTGGAGGAGGTGAGTTTTAGGCAGGATTTGGAACAGGGGTTGTGGAAAAGTTGAGAGAAATCATAAATGTGGGCAGTAGCATTTGCAAAGACCTTAAGATGGGAACATTTATAAGAACATGGGAATGAAATTTGTTTGACTGGATTAGGAGAATGTTGAAGTTGGGTGAGATGGTCCACTTGATGGAGAGTCTAGTAGACCCTGCTTCTGGCAGGTGGCTATTTGCAAGGTTATGTCATATTCCCCTGGGAATAGCCAGAAACTGCTGGTAGGGGCTAGGATAATTCTTCTCTTCTCCCCACGGGGAAGGATACAGCTTTTCTTTCATCTTGGGTTCCCTTAGGAGGTGTTTGGTGATGACTCTGAGATCTCTAAAGAATCATCAGGAGTAAAGAAGCGACGAATACCCCGTTTTGAGGAGGTGGAAGAAGAGCCAGAGGTGATCCCTGGGCCTCCATCAGAGAGCCCTGGCATGCTGACTAAGCTCCAGGTTAGTAATTAGGGACTGGAAGCAAAGTGGTTTTGTGAGTTGAAGAAGCAAAAGGTGCATGGGTCTGTATTTATTGTGATTTTTTTTTTTTTTTTTTCCGAGATGGAGTTTTGCTCTTATCACCCGGGCTGGAGTGCAGTGGTGCGATCTCAGCTCACTGCAACCTCTGCCTCCCGGGTTTAAGCGATTGTCCTGTCTCAGCTTCCCAAGTAGCTGGGATTACAGGTACCCGCCACCAAGCCCGGCTAATTTTTGTATTTTTAGTAGAGACGGGGTTTCACCATCTTGGCCAGGCTGGTCTTGAACTCATGATCTCAGGTGATGCGCTCGTCTCGGCCTCTCAAAGTGCTAGGTTTACAGGAGCGAGCCACCGTGCCTGACTTATTTTTTGTATTTCTTTTAGTAGAGACGGGGTTTCACTATGTTGGGTAGGCTGGTTTCGAACTTCTGACCTCAGGTCATCTGCCCACCTCGGCCTCCCAGGGTGCTGGGATTACAGGCGGGAGCCAGCGTGCCTCACCTTATTGTGATCTTGATTTAAATTAGTGTTTAGCATTTGGGGAAGTTTTTTGTTTTTTTTTTTTTGAGATGGAGTTTCACTCTGTTGCCCATGCTGGAGCGTAGTGGTGTGATCTCAGCTCACGGCAACCTCCACCTCCCAGGTTTAAGTGATTCTCCTGCCTCAGCCTCCGGAGTAGCTGGGACTACGTGCGCACACCACTACGCCTGGCTAATTTTTGTATTTTTAGTAGAAGCGGTGTTTTGCCATGTTGGCCAGGCTGGTCTGGAACTCCTGGCCTCAAGTGATCTGCCACCTTAGCCACCCAAACGGCTGGGATTACAGGTGTGAGCCACTGCACCAGGCCAGCATTTGGGAAAATTTTATTTCTTGCTTTATGTTTTAGCATTCTTTGATTTGACCAGGAGTATTCCAGGTAAGGGTATTGAAATTGCCATTTACTGTGGCCAGCAAGGTGTGTTATGTACATTATTTGCCTAATTACCTACGTCACTGAGTCATTGAGAAAATTAAATGAAATGATCAGAACTCATCTTGATGACAGAGGAGAATTTCCAAACATAATGCAAAGAAGATATAATCCACTAATAAATAATTTTAAGTTGACTTTGTATTTTTTTTTAACAGGAAATATTTGTGTTTTTTTAATTGGTAGTGTTAAATAATTTTGATACCACATGAACAATAAGTGTTTACCATTTAATATTTGAGGGGGGTAATAGAACATACACAGAAATATGGATGGGTGGATTTGCATATATGTGATATTTACAGAAGGAAAGAAATGGGTGATTTTTTTCTTTTTTTTGGAGATGTCTCTCTCTGTCACTCAGGCTGGAGCACGCTGGTGCGATCTCGGTTCACTGCAGCCTCCGCCTCCCAGGTTCAAGTGATTCTCCTATCTCAGCCCCCCAAGTAGCTGGGACTATAGGCATGTGCCACCATGCATGGCTAATTTTGTATTTTTAGTAGAGATGGGGTTTCACCATATTAACCAGACTGGTTTGGAACTCCTGACCTCAAGTGATCTGCCTGCCAAAGTGCTGGGATTACAGGCGTGAGCCACCATGTCTAGCCTGTTTTTGTTTTTCAGGCAAGGTCTCACTCTGTCCTCCAGCCTGGAGTTCAGTGGCGAGATCTTGGCTTACTGCAACCTCTGCCTCCCGGGCTTGAGTGATCCTCCCACCTTGGCTTCCCAAGTAGCTGGGACTACAGGCCACCATGCCTGGCTGATTTTTGTATTTTTTGTAAAGATAGAGTTTTGCCACGTTGCCCAGGCTGGTGTTGAACTCCTCGGCTGAAACGATCCTCCTGCCTCAGCCTCCCAAAGTGCTGGACTTACAGGAGTGAGCTACCACGCCCAGCTGATTCTTTTCTTTTCTTTTCTTTTTGAGATGGAGTCTCGCTCTGTCACTTAGGCTGGAGTATGGTGGCGCGATCTCAACTCACTGCAACCTCTGCCTCCTGGGTTCACACCATTCTCCTGCCTCAGTCTTCTGAGTAGCTGGGACTACAGGCACGTACCACCACGCCCGACTAATTTTTTGTATTTTTAGTAGAGACAGGGTTTCACCATGTTAAGATGGTTTTGATCTCCTGACCTTGTGATCCCCCCGCCTCGGCCTCCCAAAGTGCTGGGATTACAGGCATGAGCCACTGTGCCTGGCCCGATGATGTTTTTTATGGAGAATAGGGATGGATGTATTCACAATATATCCTTTTGCAATTTTTCTTTTTTTTTTTGAGACAGAGTCTTGCTCTGTCACCCAGGCTGGAGTGCAAGTGGCGTGATCTCGGCTCACTGCAACCTCCGCCTTTGGGGTTCAAGCTATTCTTCTGCCTCAGCCCCCCCCAGGTAGCTGGGATTACCAGGCGCACACCACCCGCCTGGCTAATTTTTTGTATTTTTAGTAGAGACGGGGTTTCACCATGTTGGTCAGGCTGGTCTTGAACTCCTGACCTCACGATCCGCCTGCCTTGGCCTCCCAAAGTGCTGGTATTACAGACGTGAGCCACCGACCCAGCCTATAATTTTTCATTTTATTATTTTATTTTATTTTATTTTTTGAGATGGAGTCTCGCTCTTGCACTGTTGCCCAGGCTGGAGTGCAGTGGTGCAATCTCAGCTGACTGCAGCCTCCGCCTCTTGGATTCAAGCAGTTCTCCTGTCTCAGCCTCCTGAATAGCTGGGATTACAGGTGTGCATCACCATGCCCAGCTAATTTTGTATTTTTAGTAGAGACTAAATTTAGTTTCACCGTGTTGGGCAGGCTGGTCTCAAACAACTGACCTCGTGATCTACCTACCTCGACCTCCCAAAGTGCTAGGATTACAGGCGTGAGCCACTGCGCCCAGCACTGTAATTTTTTATTTTTTTATTTTCTTATTTATTTATTTAGAGATGGAGTCTCCCTCTCTTGCCCAGGCGGGAGTGCAGTGGCATGATCTTGGCTAACAATAACCTCCGCCTTCTGGGTTCAAGCAATTCTCCTGCCTCAGCCTCCTGAGTAGCTGGCATTACAGGCGCCCACCACCACACCTGGCTAATTTTTGTATTTTTACTAGAGATGGTGTTTCACCATATTAGCCAGGCTGGTCTTCAGCTCCTGACCTCAAGTGATTTCACCCACTTCAGCCTCTCAAAGTGCTACAGGCGTGAGCCACCATGCCTGACCCTTCTGTAATTTTTGAATTTTGAATATCACCTATTCAAGAAAAAATGTTAAAGACAAATTTTTGAAAATATCTGGAAGCTCTTTTTGCAAAATGCAAGAGGAGTTGTTTGACTATACCCTCAAAGCTTATCATTCTGAACTTCTTTAGGACGGAAGGGGTTTATAGAGACTAGGGAGCAGGTCTTTGCACCATCGTCTCTTGTTTCTCAAACTAGTAGTTCAAGTACTAATATCATGATTTAAAAAAAAAAATTAAGTATAGGCTGGGAGCAGTGGCTCACGCCTTTCATCCCAATACTTTGGGAGGCCAAGGCAGGCGGATAAGGAGATTGAGACCATCCTGGCTAACAGGGTGAAACCCTGTCTCTACTAAAAATACAAAATCCATCCTGGCTAAAAGGGTGAAACCCCGTCTCTACTAAAAATACAAAAAATTAGCCGAGTGTAGTGGTGGGTGCCTGTAGTTCCATCTACTTGGGAGGCTGAGGCAGGAGAATGGCGTGAACCCGGGAGGCAGAGCTTGCAGTGAGCCAAGATTGTGCCACTGCACTCCAGCCTGGGCCACAGAGTGAGACTCCGTCTCAAAAATTAAAAAAAAAAAAATTAAGCATAATATTTTGTGTAGGTTCTGTTAGGTTTGCATGCATTATTTAAGTGGTTACAATAGACCTATAAGGTAGGTGCTGTTTTTTTTCTCCCTTTTAGACGCTTAGGAGGTTTAGAGACTTAAGTTCCTTATCCAAGATAACAAAGGCATTAAGTGTCAGAGTTAAGATTCAAACTCGGGCCGGGCGCGGTGGCTCAAGCCTGTAATCCCAGCACTTTGGGAGGCCGAGGGCCCGGCTGGATCCACGAGGTCAGTGAGATCGTAGACCATGCCTGGCTAACATGGTGAAACCCCATGTCTACTAAAATACAAAAAACTAGCCGGGCGGTGGTGGCGGGTGCCTGTAGTCCTAGCTACTCGGAGGCTGAGGCAGGAGAATGGCGTAAACCTGGGAGGCGGAGCTTGCAGTAAGCCGAGATCGCACCGCTGCACTCCAGCCTGGGCGACACAGCGGACTCCGTCTCAAAAAAAAAAAAAAAAAAGATTCAAACTCGGTTTCCTTCTGACTCCCAGAGTCTCAGTCACTCACACTGACTTGCTACCTAATATGCCAAAATCTTTGCCCTTAGGACTTTGGGTTGGAAAAATTCCAGTGCAAACTTATCTTGACTAAATTTTTTGCACTAATGGGTAGACACGTATGTGGTATATTTCAAAAATTAAGTGTCAGACCCTGAGAGCCTTGCGTGGGTTTAAAAAACCTGAAAATGGAAGTAGTAAGAGGAGAATTAACAAGGTTTAATTTTTTTCCCTGAGAAGCCAGATCAAACAGATGATGGAGGACAGCAACACGACAAATCGAGGAAGCAGGGGAAAAAAACAGTTGAGCTTCCATTAGCCCCCTACCCCTCAGTAATTGGTGGTCTAGATTATCCTGAAAACAATATCTTTGGCACAGAATTTCTTGCCCATCCCACCCTCAAAAATGAAAGAGACCAGAAGAGGGACTGCATGTTTTACTTCCATAATCACTAACTACAGTCACCTACCTGGATGGTTGTATGTGTGTTATCTGTGGGTATGCATACGTGTATTTGTCTGCCTGTCTTAATGCTCTGATTCTTTTTACTCTATCTCACAGCCAAGGATCCTCCTTTCTTCCCACCAGAACGCAGACTTCCCCAATGGCCAACAACCTATTCGCCCTCCCAGGCTCGCCACTTCATGAATGATGCCATTGAGAAGGCCAAGGAAGCATGCTGAACACAAGCTCGAATCAGCCCCACTGGCACTGAAGCCAGGAACTCCATTCGGCAATGCCACATGGTGGCCTGGCAATCCATGCCAATGGGCATTGGCTCCCCCGTGATGCTATTTCCATGGCGAAATCCTTTCCATTCTGAAGCTTTGAGCAGCATAAATCCTTTGAAATGTTTACTGATCTGGCTGGGCGCCAGTGCCTCAGCCCTGTATCCCTAGCACTTTGGGAGGCGAGGTAGGTGGGATCAACCTGAGGTCCAGGATCCAGGAGTTTGGAGACTGAGCTGACCAATATGATGGAAACCCATCCCCACTGAAATACAAAAATTAGCTGGACGTGGTGGTGCATGCCTGTTATCCCAAGCCTACCCGGGACTGAGGCAGGGGAATCCTTGAATCCAGGAGGCAGAGTTGCAGTGAGCTGAGATCGTTGCCACTGCACTCAGCCTGGGTGACAGAGGGAAAGAACTCCGGCTCAAAAACAATCAACAACAAAAAAATTATGAAATCCTCCTTTTTCCCAAGAGAACCTAGATCATTTCTCACAGTTCACATAATTGTCATGTGTGATTGATAATCCAGCTATGAATTTTTTCTGCTTCCACCTGTTGTTGCAGGGTTTTATCATTCTTATGATTTGGGATATAAACTGAGATTAAGGTTATTCATCTGATTTGAGCCTTGAATAGAGCCAGGTTCGTTCCTGGTTTTTCAACTCAGGATTTATCCATTAAAGCAACATTATGTGATCAGAGTCTGAGTTCCTCGCAACTGGTCACAGATGTTACAACTTTTTTCTTTTTAGCATCGACAGTTAGTCTGCATCCCCAGTGAACTATGTAAGAATTCACAGGATAAAGAAAGATAGGAATTGTAAATTCACTATCAATTTATAAACTCATTTCTTTCGGCTGGTCTGATATGCTGAATATCGTACTTCTGATAATTTTTAATCCAGCATGTTATTGGCCAGGTCGTGGTGACTCACACTGATAATCACAGCCACTGTTGGGAGGCCAGAGCACTGGCATTGCTTGAGCTCAGGAGTTCAAGACCAGCCTAGGCAACATGGCAAAACCCCATCTCTCTAAACAATACAAATTAGCCAGGCATGTAGAGCATGCCCTGTAATTCCCAGCTACTGTAGGAGACTGAGGTGGGAGAATTCTTTGAGCCTGGGATGTTGAGGTTGCAATGAGCTGTGATTATGGCACTGTACTTAGGCCTGGGCAACAGAGTGAGACCATGTTCAAAAAAAAGATTGGTATTACTTACTGATGAGATTTGTTCCCTAGAATTATTTTATCGTCCTTTTTTTTTTTTTTTGAGAGGGAGTCTCACTCTGTTGCCCAGGCTGGAGTGCAGTGGCGTAATCTCGGCTCCCTGCAACCTCCACTTCTTGGGTTCAAGGAATTCTGCCTTAGCCTCCAAAGTAGCTGGGACTACAGGTGCCCGTCTAAATTTTGTATTTTTTGTAGAGATGGGGTTGCACTATGTTGCCAAGGCTGGTCTCGAACTCCTGGGCTCAAGCGATCCACCTGCCTCAGCCTCCCAAAGTGCTGGGATTACAGTGTGAGCCACCACGCCCGTCCATCCAATAACTCTTACGGAGAAGGCACTGCACCCTCAACTTCTGGGCTCAAGTGACCCTTCTCAACCTCCTGAGTAGCTGGGACCAAAGGTATATGCCACCACACCCAGCTAATTTTAAATTTTTTGTTGAGATGGGATCACCTTGTGTTGCCCAGATTGGTCTCTAACTCCTGGGCTCAAGTGATCCCTCTGCCTTGGCCTCCCAAAATGCTGTGGTTCTAGTCTTGAGCCACCACACTTTATTTTGTTTGTTTTTTTGTTTGCCTTAATGTTCCATACAGGATTTATTTCTTTGCGGGCTATTTTTCAGGAAGGTGGAGTTAAAAGACCAAACGAAACCTACACCACTGATCCTGGATGAGCAAGGGCGCACTGTAGATGCAACAGGCAAGGAGATTGAGCTGACACACCGCATGCCTACTCTGAAAGCCAATATTCGTGCTGTGAAGAGGGAACAATTCAAGCAGCAACTAAAAGAAAAGCCATCAGAAGACATGGAATCCAATACCTTTTTTGACCCCCGAGTCTCCATTGCCCCTTCCCAGCGCCAGAGACGCACTTTTAAATTCCACGACAAGGGCAAATTTGAGAAGATTGCTCAGCGATTACGGACAAAGGTATCTGGCTTATAGTATAACACAGAATTTAGAAAAAGTTAAGAAGCTGAAAGGAAAACATTGTAAAATCTCTATGTTCTAGGAAATTAGATAAATAGGTCATTTAAAGCAGCAGTCCTCAACCTTTTTGGCATCAAGGATTCATTTCATGGAAGACAGTTTTTCCCCTGGAGTAAGGATGGTTTTGTGATGGTTTAAGAACATTACCTTTATTGTGTACTTTATCATTATTATTATTTTTGAGATGGAGTTTTGCTCTTGTTGCCCAGGCTGGAGTGCAATGGCATGATCTCGGCTTACTGCAACCTCCGCCTATCAGGTTCAAGTGATTCTCCTCGAGTAGCTGGAATTACAGGCATGCACAACCATGCCTGACTGACTGTGTATTTTTGGTAGAGATGGGATTTCTCCATGTTAGTCAGGCTGGTCTTGAACTCCTGACGTCAGGTAATCTGCCCACCTTGTCCTCCCAAAGTGCTGGGATTACAGGCGTGAGCCACCACACCCGCCTTTTTTTGGCAGGAGAGCGGGGACAGAGTCTTGCACTGTTACCTGGGCTGGAGTGCAGTGGTGCAATCTCAGCTCACTGCAGCCTCCACTTCCTGGGTTCAAGCCATTCTCCTGCTTCAGCCTCCTGAGTAGCTGGGACTACAGGCGTGCGCCACCATGCCTGACTAATTTTTTGTATTTTTAGTAGAGACAGGGTTTCACTGTGTTGGCCCGGCTGGTCTTAAACTCCTGACCTTGTAGTCTGCCTGCCTTGACCTCCCAAAGTGCTGGGATTACAGGCGTGAGCCACTGTGCTGACTTCTATTATTATTTTATTTTAATATATGATGAAATAATTATATAACTCACCATAATCTAAAATCATTGGGAGCCTTGAGTTTGTTTTCCTGCCGAGACGGTCCCATCTGGGTGTGATGGCAGACAGTGACAGATCATCAGGCATTAGATTCTCATAAGGAATGTGCAACACAGCCCCCTCGCATGTGCAGTTCACAATAGGGTTCACTCTCCTATGAGAATCTAATGCCACCGCGGATATGACAGGAGGTGGAGCTCAGACCATAATGCAGGTAATAGGGAGCAATTGTAAGTACAGATGAAACTTTGTTGGTTTGCCTCCTGCTCACCTCCTGCTGTACAGCCCAGTTCCTAAAAGGCCACAGACTGGTGGGTTGGGGACCCCTGATTTAAAGCAATGAATAATTTGAAAATATGCAGGACGAGGTGGCTCAAGCCTATAATCCCAGCGCTTTGGGAGGCCGAGGTGGGTGTATCACAAGGTCAGGTGTTCGAGACCAGCCTGCCCGACATGGTGAAACCCCATCTCAACTAAAAATACAAAAATTAGCCGAGCATGGTGGCGGGCACCTGTAATCCTAACTACTTAGGAGGCTGAGGCAGGAGAATCACTTGCAATTGGAAGGTGGAGGTTGCAGTGAGCCGAGATCGCGTTACTACACTCCTGCCTGAGCGAAAGAGCGAAACTCCGTCTCAAAAAAAAAATTTTAAGCAGATTTTACTTCCTAATTAGTTTCTACATAAGTGGAAATATTAAATTGAGTTTGAAAATTCTCCACATACAACTAAGTGGAGGGAAACAATTTGAAACATTCTGACTGACTAAGGAAGACTTGCCTGGAGTTAAAATTTCCTGCAGACAGTACACCTGGAGAGTTGAATTGATTGTATATTGAATGACCTTTGCCGCCTTTTTATCCTCTCAGAGTGAGGTTTTCATAAAATTCTATTTCTGTGTATTTACTGCAGGCATATACTGTGGAGTGAAGGGAGAGGGTGAAGGTGAGGATCTATGTAAATGAACTAAATAAAGGATAAAATAAAGCAGAACAACTCCTTTCTAAACTTTCAGAATGAATTTGTTGCATTAGGTGTAAAGAGTTCAAAGGGGAAATGTTTTAAAATTTGGGATTATTGGCCAGGCGTCATGACTCATGCCTATAATCCCAGCACTTTGGGAGGCCGAGGTGGGCGGATCACGAGGTCAGGAAATTGAGACCATCCTGGCTAACACGGTGAAACTCCTACTCTACTAAAAATACAAAATAATTAGCCGGGCGTGATGGCAGATGCCTGTAGTCCCAGCTACTCGGGAGGCTGAGGCAGGAGAATGGCGTGAACCTGGGAGGTGGAGCTTACAGTGAGCCAAGATGGCGCCACTGCACTCCAGCCTGGGTGACAGAGCGAGACTCCGTCTCAAAAAAAAAAAAAAAAAAAAAGATTCAAACTCAGGTTTCTCTGACTCCAGAGTCTCAGTCATCACACTGTATTGCTACCTAATATGCCAATCTTGCCTTAGGAACTTGGGTTGAAAAATTCCAGTGCAAACTTTAATCTTGACTAAATTTTTTGCACTATGGTAGACAGTATGTGGTATATTCAAAAAATTTTAAGTGTCTAGACCTGAGAGCCTTGTGGGTTTAAAAACCTGAATGGGAGTAGTAAAGAGGAGAAATTAACAGTTTTTCAATTTTTTTCCTGGAGAGCAGATCAAACAGATGATGGAGGCAGCAACACGACAAATCGAGGAGAGGAAAAAACAGTTGAGCTTCATTAGCCCCCCTACACCTCAGGTATTGTGTCTAGATTACTCTGAAAACAATAGTCTTTGGCACAGAATTTCTTGCCATCCACTCAAAATGAGAGACCAGAAGAGGTGACTGCATGTTTTACTTCATAATCATCTACTACAGTCTACCATGATGTGTATGTGTGTATCTGTGTGTATGCATACGTGTATTTGTCTGCCTGTCTTAATGCCTCTGATTTCTTTTACTCTATCTCACAGCCAAAGACTCCTTCTTCTTCCCAACCAGAGCGACTTCCAATTGGCAACACTATTCAGCCCTCCCAGGCTGCCACTTTCATGAATGATGCCATTGAGAAGGCAAGGAAAGCAGCTGAACTACAAGCTCGAATCCAAGCCCAGCTGGCACTGAAGCCAGGACTCATCGGCAATGCCAACATGGTGGGCCTGGCTAATCTCCATGCCATGGGCATTGCTCCCCCGTGAGTGTCTATTTCATGGAATACCTTTTCATTTCTGAAGTTTGAGAAGCAATAAATACCTTTGAATGTTACTGATCTGGCTGGGCGCAGTGCCTCAGGCCTGTAATCCTAGCACTTTGGGAGGCCGAGGTAGGTGGATCACCTGAGGTCAGGAGTCAGGAGTTTGAGACTAGCCTGACCAATATGATGAAACCCCATCTCCACTAAAAATACAAAAATTAGCTGGACGTGGTGGTGCATGCCTGTTATCCCAGCTACTCGGGAGGCTGAGGCAGGAGAATCACTTGAATCCAGGAGGCAGAGGTTGCAGTGAGCTGAGATCGTGCCACTGCACTCCAGCCTGGGTGACAGAGGAAGACTCTGGCTCAAAAACAATAACAACAAAAAAAATTACTGATCCTCTTTTTCCAGAGAACCTAGATCATTTCTCACAGTTCCATATTTCTTATGTGTGATTGATTAACCAGTTGAATTTTTTCTCTTGGCTTCCCTGTTGTTGCAGGGTTTATTATCTTCTTATGATTGATATAACTGAGATTAAGGTTATTCATCTGATATTGGAGCTCTGAATAGAGCCAGGTTTCCTTCCTGGTTTCAAACTCAGATTTATCCATTAAAGCACATTATGTGAGATCAGATCTGAGGTTCCTCTGCAACTGGTCAAAGATGTTACACTTTTTTTTTTTTAGCATCGACAGTTGGTCTGGCATCCCATGACTAATGTAAGAATTCAGGGATAAAGAAAGATAGGATTGTAAATTCATATAATTTATAAACTCATTTCTTTCGGTGGTCTTGTATGCTGAAATATCTACTTTGATATTTTTAATCAAGATGTTATTGGCAGGTCGTGGTGACTCACACTTGTAATCCCAGCACTTTGGGAGGCCGAGACTGGCAGATTGCTTGAGCTCAGGAGTTCAAGACCAGCCTAGGCAACATGGCAAAACCCCATCTCTCTAAACAATACAACAATTAGCCAGGCATGGTAGAGCATGCCTGTAATTCCAGCTACTTAGGAGACTGAGGTGGGAGAATTTCTTTGAGCCTGGGATGTGAGTTTGCATGAAGCTGGGATATGGCACTGTAACTAGCCTGGGCAACAGAGGAGACCATGTTCAAAAAAAAGATTGGTATTACTTTACTGATGAGATTGTTCCCTAGAATTATTTTTTATCGTCTTTTTTTTTTTTTTTGAGAGGCAGTCTCACTCTGTTGCCCAGGCTGGAGTGCAGGCGTAATCTTCGGCTCCTGCAACCCACTTCTGGGTTCAAGGAATTCCTGCCTTAGCCTCCAAAGTAGCTGGACTACAGTGGCCGTCTAAATTTTGTATTTTTGTAGAGAATGGGGTTGCACTATGTGCCAAGGCTGGTCTCGAACTCCTGGGCTCAAGCGATCCACCTGCCTCAGCCTCCCAAAGTGCTGGGATTACAGTGTGAGCCACCACGCCCGTCCATTCCATAACTCTTACGGAGAAGGCACTGCACCTCAACTCTGGCTCAAGTGACCCTTCTCAACCTCCTGAGTAGCTGGGACCAAAGGTATATGCCACCACACCAGCTAATTTTAAATTTTTTGTTGAGATGGGATCACCCTGTGTTGCCCAGATTGGTCTCTAACTCCTGGGCTCAAGTGGATCCTCTGCCTTGGCCCCAAAATGCTGTGGTTCTAGTCTTGAGCCACCCACTTTATTTTGTTTGTTTTTTGTTTGCCTTAATGTTCCATACAGGATTTATTTCTTTGCGGGCCTTTTTTCAGGAAGGTGGAGTTAAAAAGACCAAACGAAACCTACACCACTGATCCTGGATGAGCAAGGGGCGCACCTGTTAGATGCAACAGGCAAGGAGAGTTGAGCCTGACACACCGCATGCCTACTCGAAAGCAATATTCGTGCTGTGAAGAGGGAACAACTTCAAGCAAGCAACTAAAAGAAAAGCCATCAGAAGACATGGAATCCAATACCTTTTTGACCCCCGAAGTTCTCCATTGCCCTTCCCGCGCCAGAGACGCCAGACTTTAAATTCCACGACAAGGGAAATTGTTTGAGAGATTGCCACGTTCTACGGACCAAAGGGTTATCGGCCTTTTATAGTATAACAACAGATATTAAAAAGTTAAGAAGCTGAAAGGAAAACTTGTAAGAATCTCTATGTGTCCAGGAAATTTAGATTAAATGGTCATTTAAAGCAGCAGTCCTCAACCCTTTTTGCATCAAAGGATTCATTGTCATGAAGAACAGTTTTTCCCCTGGAGTAAGAGATGGCTTTCTTGTGATGGTTTAAGGACATTACCTTCTATTGTGTACTTGTATCGATATATTATTTTTGGATGAAGTTTTGCTCTTGTTTGCCCAGGCTGGAGTGCAATGCATGATCCGGCTACGCAACATCCGCCTCATGGTGTCAAGGTTCGCCTCGGAGAAGCTGGATTAAACAGGCATGCACAACCCATGCC